GCAATTCGTTCGATTCGAACGATTAAACCATTCGACCCGAGAACCGGACCCTTGATCGGTTTGTTGTTCGGGTCGGTTTTAAAAACAATGCTACTAACCATCGTACAAGGGCCTTGTTGCAGCAATGCATAGCCGTAGGGTAGGGCTTGTATAAAATTCAATTGGAGTAAAGTTTTTGGAGTGTGAGCATTGACTAGGTCCTGTTCTAGCTTTCCTCTATCAAGCCCTAAACATATTCTCTTATCTCCATTTGGCTAATAGGTGTTTCGACTATTGTGTTACTTCGTGCAATTGTACAAGCCTACTCAACGGCATAGAGATGTGTTTTCTGGGCTATGTCAAGCACAGCCGAATGATTGACTCCCAATGGGTGTTGTTCAGATGCTTAGAAAGTCAAGACCCTAGGGCGGCCAGGAGGTATTGATGCAAAAGGGCCGGTAGGGGTGAATGGGGAGTGCTTGGGTGTAGCTGCCTTTATGGGATAGGATTTCAATGTCTACTTGGTCGTTGGTTTCCTAAGGGGCCTGATCCTCGAGTTTTGCATCAGTGTTCTCGTGGTCATTGTGCTACTCCTCAAGAATGAGTGAGGTTGATTCTAAGGGCAGCCATTCTTCGTAATCAAGGGATAAACCAGAGATTCTAATGTATGGTGAGGCGAGGTAGGGTGGCATCTTTGAAGGACGAAGAAGGATTAGGACCAAGGTCACAAAGGGAGATGATGGGTATGTTTTTGCTTGTTGGGAGTTTCAACAGAGTCGGGTAGTAAAAGAATGTGTGCTCGTTATTATTTTTTCTCTCCTTTTATATGGGGGATCCCAAGACTTTAAGGAAAAGGATCAAAAAATGGCTCAAATCCTATTAGGAAAGGTAATTCTTATCTTTATGCCGGTTATCAAGGGAATGCTATTGGGGTTTTGCCACGTGTCCAGCGAGATCCTGTAAGGGAAAAGTTTCCTTTTTCCCAAGGATTATCGTCTAGCACGTGCAGGTTACATCTCATTGTAGGTTTCCTCATGGCTATGTGGCAAAGGTGGGACCTAGGTCTGACTAGCGTATTTGGTTATGCGTTCGGTCGCCCCCGAGGTGCTGCATCATGGCTTCCTCAAGTCTCAGGTTTAAGATAGCCTTTTGAGCTCATCACATGCTTGGGATGGCTTTCTAAGCTCATCGCAGGTATATATGTGGTTCTGTTATGATATCTTCGTCATAATTACGACAGTGGAGGACTACATGTACTTACACATGGCAGACATGGGAGACATGGAATGACCCAAGAAGATAGACCTGGTCATGTTGCGCTCAACAAGAATACATTGTAGATCTTGTGCATAGGAATACTAACTTCAATGTCCTTGGGGATTGTAGAGATGAGGATTGACATTCCCTATTTCCTTGAAAAGAATGGCACTATTGCTTGTCTCGGTGTTGATGACTTCTCTAGCTTAAACACAAACATCTCATTTGGAGAGAGATTTCCATGAAAATTATTGCTTTGCACAAAATCCAAAATCAAAACTACCACCAACCAGATCTCTCTACAGTGACAACGAGCTTAACAAACATAAAGAGAATGAAAGGGTCATCGGTTAAGGTGTAGATGTTGTAAGATTACGGTTGTGTTTGGTATCATTGTCATTTTTACTTGCAACGTTTTATGTTGGTCAATGCAAATTTTATGAGAAATTATCGTGGCATATTACATCAGATAACCACTTTCACTAAAAAAAATATAAGCATGGGATTAGGTGTTGTCATTTATAATAGAAACACCAAATTTGATGTTTCCTGAAGAAGTCGCAATGGTACCCAATTGTATTAATAACTCAAAGTATTTGTGGCTAAAAAGCATATATTCTCATAAAATTTTTATTGACTAACACAAAACATTACGAATAGAAGTGACAATGGTACCAAAGTACCAAACAAAAACTACATCTTTCATCTCCATCAATACACAAAGCTCCTATCTCCATTTCTTAACTTCTTTCTAAAGTGAATCAGTGAAATGTGCGTCATACGTGCAAAAGAGATTGTGCGATGTTAATCCTTTTTTTCTTGATATCTTTTGAAGGGCTACACAAAAAGGGTAACCCATCCCACAACCCAAGTACAAGCGGGATTCAATCCCAAATTTCTGTTGTGACTAGCAAGAGACCTTACCAACTAGCTAGTTGGAACTTTGTTGTACAATGTTAAACTAGTATAGATAGAGGGATCGACAAATAAACTAAAATTGGTGCCTATAATCAAGAGAAAGGTTAGACAAATATGCTTAATTATGTAAAATTCAAAAATTTGTAAAACTAGGAATGGAGATTTTTGAGCAAATTTTGAAGAGGAAGAAGACTTCAATTAAGTTTAAAGTAATCCATTCTTATATGTGAATCCCTTAAAGGATATTAACATATGGGTTGAAAAGAAAAGGAAATTTTATTTGTTTTATTTTTTGAGATAATTACTTAAAGTACCCAATAAACTATCTGATAATTACATAAAGTACCCTTAAGGTTTAAAATCCTACTTAAAGTACCCCCCTGAATTTTTGGAAATATGGTTTCCATTAAGTGTTGTCATTAGATAAAAAAATGTCTTACCCAAACCTACAAAAGAAAGTAATGGAGGCTTTTAACTAGTCATTTAATGCAAACTCTAGTAGGCATGCTATTGGATACTTTTAAAATTTCTTTGATGTGCCAATTGTTTTAATTGACAATTACTTGCACATTTACCGATGGGCGTGTTTTTTGGGATTTTTGTTGAGTTGGGCTTCAGTCATGCAAAGCCATTACAGCCTTGCATTGGGAATAACTCCATACTTATGTGCTTTATTTCATGGGGAGATATTCCCAATGCAAGGTTGCAAGAGGTTGTTCGAACTATGTGAGCATGAACTTGCATTTAACAAAGCCAAACTCATTTCTACCATAGGTGGTGTTATTTTATGGGTTGTATTAGGCATACTAATAATTACTTTTTTATAGTACAAAGAGAGTATATGTGTTGTATTAGGTGTACTGATAATTACATTTCTTAGTATAAGGATAATTTATTATTCATATATAATCAAATCAAGGATTATTAATAGGTTACGTTTATTAACTATATTATTAATAAAAGCATAATATGATAACTATTTTATTTATAAACAAGGTATATGATTACCTATAACCTAATTAATTAAACTTAAATAATTTAATTAATCTTAACTAATGGATAATGTAACATGAATTATCAAAAAACTTAGTAAAATTAAAATTAAACAAAATTGTTAATTTTAAAATTAATATTATTAATTTAAAATTGACTTAGTTATAGGGGTAGGGATGCAAAACAGATCAGATCGGATGGATTCGAATAAGGGTATATCCGAATATGATCCAATGTTGTAAAGGGGAGATCCGATCTGATCTCATAAACGTAGATTTGAATTCAAATACGATGAGACCGTCAGATCTTTGGATCTAAGATAATAAATTAAAAAAATATAATATGAATAATATATTTATAAATAAACAAATAACATGTGTATGTTATATTTAAATAAATAACATATATATTGGATCGGATAGGGGTGATCATTTTCACTTTTCAGCTAGCCCATGCCTAGGAAGTAGGAATGGCAACGGGGTGGGTTTGATAGAGGGTCATATTCCCCATCCCTGACATTGATTATGAAATAAATCCCAGTTCACAACCCCGATCCTACTGGGGTTAAAAGTTGTCCTCCATCCATGATCCTCGACAAAGTCAGGTTCCCTACAGGGACTTGAATCCTTGGATCCCCGAATTTATTTAATTAACAACGAGCGGAGGGGCCCCTGCATTGTAGGGGTTGGAGAAGTGAAATTATTGTATAGAAAAAAAAAAGAAGTTGAGAAGTTATTTTTTTAGTGAAGGTATCTTAGAAAAAAAGTTACTTGAAATAAACTAAAATTTGTATCCAATTTATTTTGCTAACACTGATTCCCTGAATGCATCTCTACTTAAATTGATCCAGCAGCATGCAACATGCAACAGAGGAAACACCAAACTTCAGCTTTCCATTACTCTATCATCTTCTTGGTTAAAGTTCTAATTTCAAATGAAGGGGCCTTCTTTTGGAACTGGGATAATACAAAGGTGATAAGCATTGGTGAAACTGAAGCACCATTAGTTAAAAAACAAGAACAACTACAACCATCAACAACACAATCGAGCAGATCAATGCCTGGAACCATGTCAGAATTAGATTAAAAAGCCAAGGTGATTAAAAGATAGCCCCAATGTCCAGGGTATGTAAATACTTCACATTTTCGGTGAAGGGATCCACATTTTTATATTATTATTTATATTTTTTAATGAGATTAACTTATATGAAATTGGTAAAAACTAATTTTGAAACAAATAATTCTTACAATTTCAATAGTTTCTATAATACTGGAATTTCCATAATTATCAAATTACAAAAGCAACAAAAAATATTTTAAAAATTACTCTTATTATTTTTTATTATTGCAATAAATTAATGATAAGTGTGGTAAATTGAAATAATTGTCACAAATTTTTGTTAATTTAATAATTTTCACAAATAATAGTTACGGATAATTCACAACATAAAATTATATATGATTATGGATAAATTCCTTAGAGACAAAGGGCTTTTAAATAACCAGAACAGAAGCAGAATATATGCAATATGGATTAAATAACCAAGGAGTAGAAATTAGGGTAAACTTAATTGGAGACTAAGAGATTTCTCTTCTGACCAACGAAACTAAGAGATACTCTTTTGATCAGCGAAACTAAGAAATATCTTTTGCCTTGGTGGTGGTTCCTCATCAGTGAAAAAGCACCGACCAAAATAAACCTAGCATGTTTCATTCATCCAATCTTAAAAGATGTGTGTAGTTTGTTAAAAATAAATAAATAAGCTTACTACATTAATCCTGATGCCAGATAGCACTTATATAAGAATGCAGTGAATTGTAATCAACCAAAAAATAAAAATAAAAACGAAAGCAAAACATCACCCTGATATAGACACCTCGGATAGCTAGTAATGATAATCAAGGGGAAAAATGAAGAGGAGAGGAGAGCCAGAACAAACATAAACAGAGTAAAGCTTACTAACATGGTTGAGCTTTTTTAATCTGTTGCACACCTGCAGGACAATTTCTCCCGACCGGTATTAACCATGTTGATTCATACTAGAAGTCCAATTGCCCAGGCATTGTAGATCAAACATTTAAAATTCCTACCTAATTCATAAGAAAAGAATTACTCATGAATGTTCTGCTTAACTTTAAATTCGAAACACTCGTAACACCGATTAAAAAAAAGAAACAAAATTAATCTCAAGAATATCAGTGACATTGACAAATGAGAATTACCTACTTAACAGTCACGAGAGTTCACATTTTCACAAAAAAAAAAAAAAGAAAAGAAGGCAATAAAATTTGATCCTTGAAAGCACCGCTTAATCACAAGTTTCAAAGTAAAAACTTCCATTGAGAGATCAAAGACCAAAATGATTCAATATCACCAATAGATCGTACAAAATTCTAAGAAATTGCTTGTAATTGATTGTACAAAATTCTCTGGCATAACCTTGATGGTGACAACCTCCACAAATGCTTCCTTGGATTTTTCTTGCCCTAGGTAGAACCTATTTTCTCTCTTCCCAAATTGACCATAGGATGGGCATCCTTCTCATTAGGACTAAATCAAAAGTGCTAATCTTTCCTGGTGTTGCCAACCATAAAGAGAAGCATACTCTAGGTAGAACAAAAGAAAGACAGTTTTTTTTTTCAAGCAATACATGCTAATCGGGGTTAAAAATCAAAGTCCGAGCCTATGGGAAAATATTTAGTGGTAAGATACTTAATGATTGGGTTTGGGGCAACCAATTTCTAGTATCAAGGGTAGATGGAGAATAAAAACATCCCTAGGACTGTTGATAAGAGAGAAATTCCTCTATCTTGGAATTCGTAGGAAGATGTTTAAATGTAAATGACAGTCCAAACCATTGTCATCATGAAATAGGAAGCCAAAAATTATAGCATCCTTATGCAAGGTGAACTGAAATATGCATGGGAAAGAGGAGCTCAAACTGTAGTTGCAAAAATGGTGTGAGTTGATGTTACTGTCCCACCTGTTTGTGTTCATCCTAAATTTCTTGCAGATAATGGTTGTCCAAAGGTTTGATTGCTCCTCGCACATAGATATCCAATCCTAATAAGGTCTCTTTTTCTCCTCCATTCCATAAAAATTTTCTGATAAAATTGTTCAATATGGTCCCTCAACTTATTAGGATTCGGGAACACTAAAAGATAGTAAACCAAGAGATTTACCCGAGCATAAGTCTTCCTCATTTAGTGTTTAGAGATGTACCTCCTCTTCTACATTGCTAACCATTTCTAACATTTTCCAACTACTTAATATCAATAAGGCAAAAATTGTGGGTTTGCACCCAAGGTCCCAAAAATTCTAATTGGATATTTCTCCACCCTACACCCCAAATTATTATTTTTTTTTTTAAAAAATTCTTTGCCCAGATCTTGTATTCACAACTACAGTTTCTACTACTTTTTCAAGAAACGATGAATATAAAAAGTCACCCCTTCCCCGTTTTTCTTTTCTTTCTATAACTTCAAAAAGGATGAAATAATCAATAGTAATAGCTAATTTTTTTATAAGTATCAATTGCAATAACTAATAACCCCTCTAGAACTACAATTGTCTTATGATGTATCTTCTTTTTTGATATGGATGTATCGGTTAGGTGAAATCTCTTCATCGTTGGACTATAATTCTTTATTTTTTATTTTCAAGTATTTTCTCGAAATTCTAAAATTTAATGCCCAAACTAGTGATTCAAATCTAGTGGCAGTAGGAAGGCTGGCGGCATGGAAAACTTATATTTCTAAATAATCTGTAGAACTTTCCTGGGGCCATTAATACCCATGACAGGTTTGGTCCCTTCTTGAGATTACTATCTTTGAATATTGGCAACTAACATCTCATAACTACAGAGAGTAAATAATATGTACCCTTCAAGTATTAAGAACCACCAGCCAACCATAACACAAGCAGTGCTAACAATGTAGTTGAAAGTTCCCAAAGTTTTCTAGAGCCAATGTATTAATCTCTGCTGGGGGAAATTAATGGATTCCCTAAACAGATTTACAGTTTTCCTAAGAACTTCAATATAACATATCTTGCACATCCATAAACAAACAAACAATTTTTACAGAAAAAATACAAATAACAAGTGTTCTTAGGAACCAAACACTGGAATTAAAACGATGCCAACATGGAACGAAGTACAATTAAAATGAAATGTTGCATGATGCCATTTGGATGCAATTGAAGATGCTAAAACAAAAACAAATAGATGAGATTATCCAAACTTAAAATTACTCTGTCAGTGTCAATGATGTCTCACCGTATTCTTCTGATTGTCATGTTCTGCCTCATCTACAGGTCCTTGTATTCTGCAACTCCCTTTCAAGACTGGTGTAATCTAAAAAGAAGGTTAAATTCACCATTAATTATCCTCTCCTATTCCGTGGCCACAACAACTTCAAGACAACTAAATACCAATGATAAAATACAATTACTGAATCACCAAAAGGAGACCATGTCTCTGAACATAATGTTGTCGTGGTTGAAAAGCATAATGTTTCACAAATACTGGAGCGATGATTAATTTAGCATGCACATTATTCAGAAGTAAATCAGTAATGCCCCAACCAATATACTGAAAACCAAAAGATTCAATTCCAAGATTAATCAAAAACCCTAAACAAAGTGATACAAAAAGCCAATAAATTCTATAAAATGAATCTTAAATAAGCAGACTTTCTCCAACACGAAAAACCCTAAACTGTCTAACGGAATTGTCACAGATCAGAAGCCCAATATTTAGCTCCCCTCCCAAGAATCCATGGTGAGAGAGAGGAGACGAGAGAGAGGAGAAAGAGAGAAAGAGACGAGAGAGAAAGAAACACTATATGAAAAAGAGAAAGAAGAGAGAGTGAGAGAAAGAGAGGCAGGTAGCGGGAGGACAAAGAGTGAGGAGAAACACCACATGGACACGTGCCGTGTCACTTGGACACGTAACTTTCATGCAAAGAGATGCTCTATATACTCTATTTGCATGAAACGCCACAGGGACATGCTTGGACTTGCTCTGTTTTACACATAACTTTCACTCGGACACATATCGTGTTGTGGACAAAGACTTTGTTTTACACGTATAAAACAAAATTGGTCGATTAAACACAAAAACACCAAAATAGTACATATAAAATAACACATAGCGAAAGGGGAGAACATCCCAATCGTATTAATATATATATATATATATATAAAAGATGTTATTTGAAAGATAAGTTTACTTAAAAATAAAATAAAATTTTAAAATATAAATGATATTTTAAATATATTTTGAACCCCAACCTTTGTCAGGGATCCTTATTAATCTCCATCTCTATCCCTACCCCACCAAAGCAATCCCCATCCCCAACCCCATCGAATCAAAAAACTTAAGTACCCAACGGGGACGGGGAAAATTGCCATCCCTACTCATGCATAGGCTTATATTAGCACAAAAAACTACAAGGACTAGGCATGGACCCAACACTTCAAGTGTGGCCCAAGTCCCGCATGGCTCAAATGCATTCATATTATTTAAACATACTTATAGTACATATAATATAAGATATTTCATATTATAAAAATTATAAAAAATAAATTTTATAATATTATATGACATATAATGAAAAATTACATGCATGCACTATTTTATACATAAAACTCATGGGCTTGGATTTAAGCCTGACCCTATTCAGGCATAGGCTATTGCCTTTATTACAATTGCTAAGCCTAGGTCATGCCCATGTAGGACTAGGTATGGGCTTATGTTTTTGGCTTGAATAAGGTCAGGCTTAAATCCAAGCCTATGAATTTTATGTATAAAATGGTACATACATATAATATTTTATATTACATGTCATATAATATGTATACAAAAATTATTTTATACAGTTTACAACCTAAAAAAATCTTATATTATATGTATTATAAGTATGTATTGAAGGAAGGGGAAACCCATCATATGGATGGATGAACCATGCAAGATGGTAGGGCAAATTTTCAAAAATTTCTTTTACCCTTCTGGTAATCGCATCCCTAATTTTAGAAAAACTGCATTTTTCAATGATCGTTCTTGCATCGAACCGGACTAGATCTGAAATCAAACGAAATGGACAAGAATACCATATACGGATTTCACACGAGTAGTTCCCAAAGTGGGTGTTCACGCCCAAGAGGGTACCAAAACTAGCTTCCACTGAAGATGACACAGCTTAGGGTGAAACCGGTTCAGCAACGCAGTCCTTCAACAAGAAATGCAATCCAACAGCTTGGATCGAGCAAGGGAGATGAGCACAAAATTAATATGATTTTTCTTGCAAAATTAGAAGTGAGAATTGATCTCTATCAGTCCAAGAACTGGAGAACGAATTGGGTTTGGGCGGCATGAGCAGAGAGAGAAAACTGAGAGCAGAAAAGGTGATCTCTTGAGCAATTTGCCATCCTCTATTTATAAGCCTTAAAGAACAACTCTCTTAATCTAATTAGGAGATTCCTAATCCAAATCTTTATTTGGATATGGACTCTTTAAGTGGTAAGAGTTATTCTCTTATCCCATTGCAGATCTAAGCCCATATCCATACCCATATTTGCCCAAGCCACATGACTGCTTAAGCTGTCATGTGACTTCTTAATTAATCCAATTAATTATGGGCTCTAGGCCCATTAAGCAAGTGGCTCACGTCCCCTTTTAGTTACTGGCCAATTTGTCTCTCTTTGTATGGTGTGGGACCCCAACAATGACCTCACATAAGCCCATATGGGTTCAACCCAACTTCCGTGAAAAATCCTGGCCGAATTCTCTATCAAATACAGTGAACCCTTGAGTCTATTAGTGATAGAGACATGGTGCATGTCTTTGGAAATGTGAGAAATCACATAGTTGCATGGAGTCAATTGTTTCAACTGCAAAACCCTACCACTTTCTATGAAGGATCATATCTACCCATCCAATGAGCTTTCCCTTTGGCCTCTATCAAACAAGGTTCATTGCCATTTTAGGCTAAACCTTTCTATCTAGTAAGTGCTGACCCGTCATAACATGGACCCCAATGTACCATGAAAGAGTCTTCCATTTTAGGATAGGCCTCTCCCACATCTGTCTATGACGCCCCTATCGTCTCATGAAGCAATCCAACCAACTGGACTAGCAAAATGGATGGCTCAATTTTATGGTGCATCTCCACCCACGTCATGCTTTCATGCTAATGACATAAAGCCTTTAGAAAATTTATCATATGATATTCTCTATCACTTGCACTTATATTAATCTGGAGGGAACAAGTAAAATAGTCCCTAGGTCTGATTTAGGTCATACCAAACTCCCATTGACTTTCATAAAGTCAAATTCAAATGGGCCCAAAACGGGCTAGGGTTCCGCAGGGTTCCTGTTGGGGAGGAAACTGACCAAGGGGGCCATTGAAAAAGGAGATCATTTAATGATCGAAGGGCACCATGGAAATGATGTGCATTCAGCCATGGTGTTCACAGAGAGCCACATACGATTAAACATGGGCCAAGCACTTATGGCCCATATATGAATCACATTCAGTACATCACAAGTAGTCACATAATCATAAATTGATCCAATCAATTAATGGCTTGTAAAACTCTAATTAATTTAAGTTAACACACAATCAGCCCATTAAGGCCCATGAATTATCATATAATATCATCTAGGTATATGGGTTAAACTGCAAACAGGAGTTCAGCCCATATTGTAGTTGGGTTGTTGTTGCTTTAACTTAACATAAATTAGGTTTTACAAGGGATGGCCAAATTGTATCATGTGATGGGCCATTAAACCCTTGGCCCATAACTGAATTTGAGTCACCTAAGATGTGACCCATGGGGCTGAGATCAGACTCCATTGAACCATGGATTCGGTCCAACTAGTTTGGACCAAACTAAGTCAATTTGGCCTAGCGTTTGGTGTCCAAAACATGATACAATTCTCAAGATTTCGATCTAAAATTATTAACAGCTGATTATTGACAACCAACCATATCACAAATAAGCAATTTAGGGCTGCAAGTGTGATGGTCCAAATCTAATCCGAACGAACTGCAAACCTGCAAGAAACTGTTAATCACAGATTGCATAATTTTTCTGCAAAATTTCTTCTTCTCATTCACGTGCTCCAGTAAATCTTCCAATGTAAAAAAAAAATAGAAAAACCCTAATTTTTCTATTAATTACATCAGAATAAATCTTAATGCATTTTATCTAAAAAGTAAATTATTTACAGACCAATGATCAAATAAATAAATAGTAGGGTTCTCAAATCTTGGCGCAAATAAAGAATTCGATCTCCATCACACCAACAGCCCAAAAATTCAAGAAATAATAATAACAAAATTCTAAAAATATTGCAAAGTAAAATAAAATTAATTTCAGATCAAATTGCCCAAAACTGAGAACCGGTTTCTTAGTAAACTGCAAACTGTGCAAATCGAGTAGAATAGCTCTACCGATTTCGGTTTAATTTTAGATCTAATTTAATTCCGGTCCCAGGATCGGAACCTGGCTCTGATACCATTGAAGGAAGGGGAAATCCATCATATGTATGGCTGAACCATACTGGATGGTAGGGTGAATTTTCAAAAATTTATTTTACCTTTCCGGGAATCGTATTCCCTATTTTAGAAAAAATGTATTTTTCAATGATCGTTCTTGCACTAAAACTGGACCAGATCTGAAATCAAAAGAAAGGGAGAAGAATACATAATACGGATTCCACATGTATAGTTCCCAAAGTGGGTGTTCACGCCCAAAGAGAGTAACAAAACTAGCTTCCACTGAAGATGGCGCAGCTTAGGTTGAAGCCGGTTCAGCAACATAGTCTTTCAGCAAGAACTATAGTCCAATAGCTTGTATCGAGCAAAGGAGGTGAGCTCAAAATTATTCTGATTTTTCTTGCAAAATTAGAAGCCATATTCGCCTTAGAGCAAATCACCCTCCTCTATTTATAAGCCTTAAAGATCAACTCTCCTAATCAAATTAGGAGCTTCCTAATCCAAATTTTTATTTGGATTTGGACTCTTTAAGTGGATAAGACTTATCCTCTTATCATAAAGGTTGATCCAAACCCATATTCGCCCAAGTCACATGACTAATGACCTCATATAAGCTCATATGGGTTCAGCCCAGCTTTTGTGAAAAAACTTGGTCGAATTCACTGACAAGCACAGTGAACCCCTGAGTCCATCAGTATGGGCTCTTAGTGAGCCCAAAATTTACATTAAATGGTCATTGAGTCCAACTATCCTACGAAGGCCCAAGGACAATGAACTTAAGTGAGATATAGCCCATCAGGTGAAACAACCCTAAATAGTCTCTTACACTTAACCTCTCAGCCCTTAATGATCAAACACTATCTGACAGGGAATGACCTCTCCCCTGGTTGCAAGGTGCAGTGTTGTACTCTCTGCTCGGATGGATCCTGGGAATTTAAACCAAGATTGTCGGAAGTTTTGGTTTCCATTAGAGAGATTGCAATCCTGATCATTTACTTTGTTTGACAAAGGGGCTGATCCTGTCACTATGATCACCCACTTGAGTGAATTCTCCAACTACTCCAATATACCCAGGTTTTGACCCCCAAAGGATCTCACTGATTGGCATATCAAAGATAGCCCAATCTGACACCTAGTGTAGTACCATAATCGAGTCTAGGGGTTAAGTGTAACTTTCCAGTTTTGCCCTCCAGTCTCCAAGGTCTATGGCATAACTGGAAAATGGTCCAGGTTCAATGTTTCAAACAAACACACACTACATGTGCTTCGAGTCTAACCCTGGTAGCTGAGACAAGCTACC